GGCCCAGTGGCACAAGCGGTTGCGTGCGCGCGCTCCGCTGCAGCGGCCTGGGGTTCGCCTGTTCAGATCCAGGGCGTGCACCAATGCACTGCTTGTTGGGCCAAGCTGTGGCGGCTCCCGTGTAGAGTGGAGGAAGATGGGCACGGATGTTAGCTCAGGGCCAGTCTTCCTCAGCAAAAACAAAAAAAAGAAAAAAAAAGAATGAGCATTCTGGGGCTGGCCGGGTGGCGTAGTGGTTGAGTTTGTGCGCTCTGCTTCCTGGGCCCAGGGTTCGCAGGTTTGGATCCCGGGTGCGGACCTGGGCACCGCTTGTCAAGCCATGCTGTGGCCGTGTCCCATGTAAAGCAGAGGAAGAGGGGCATGGATGTTAGCCCAGGGCCAGTCTTCCTCAGCAAAAAGAGGAGGATTGGCAGATGTTAGCTCAGGGCCGATCTTCCTCACACAGACAAAAAAGAGCGTCCTTACCCAGCTTTTGTTTGGGCAGAGCTTATTGTGCAGATCCAGCCTAGATAAATGCCCTGGAAAATGTCTGGTCACCTGGAGTGTTTATTGCTCTTTAATTCGTGTGAATTAATTTTTATAATTAGTAGTAATTATGAGCAATTATGCAGAATACCATACGAAGCATTAAACAGAATATGTGGATCAATAAGAAAGTTACTGTATTTTAAAGGTGCACCTGGGCCGGCCCTGTGGCTTAGTGGTTAAGTGCGCGCACTCTGATGCTGGCGGCCTGGGTTTGGATCCCTGGCGCGCACCGACGCACTGCTTCTCCGAGCGAGGCCGCGTCCCACAAACAGCAACTAGAAGGATGTGCAGCTATGACATACAGCTGTCTACTGGGGCTTTGGGGGAAAAAATAAATAAAAATTTAAAGGTGCACCTATTCCTCTCTATCTACATTGCTTTGGCATAAATTAAGGAAATAGGGACACTTCTTGACCTATTGGGAGTCTGTGTGGTTAATGTGGGGTGTGGTTAATGGTTCGTAGATTTATAGGAAATGTTTTCACCTTGGACTCTGATAAAAGGAAATGCCTGACCCTGAAGGAAGAATTTTAAAACGAACCTCCTTCCCCTTGCCTCACACACAGAATTTAGACAGAATATTCAGCCTCTCCCAACCTCTGTTAGATATACTTTATGTGGTCAAATTACACTTACACTTTGTTCCGTAACCATAATGAGGACTTTGAAGATTTCTGTAAATTGATTCTGAAAGTTACAACCCAATAAGCAACATTTACATTATAATGAGTGTGGAATATTTTTCAAGCAGCCCCAAGTATGATCTAGGGTTACATTTCTCTCCTGTAGTTCCAATGTTGCCATCCACGTGCCACTCAAGGACTCGATGCCTTCTTCATATCTACATTCAAAATCACACCCAATTTTAATTTTCTTGGTATTTTTGAACCATGCTTTTCTCACATTGCTGAATTGGTGTCCTTCCTTCTGTAGGGGAAAGAGGGAGAATCTCCCTCTGCCCTTTCCCTTAAGGTTCTTATGGCTGGCCAAATAATCAACAAGACAGGTTAGCAGGAGAAAATAATACCAAGTTTAATAACATGTATACATGGGAGAAAGCAGGGACACTGCGTTTCTCAACACAATAGCAGAAATTCTCGTCTTAAATATCATTTTCAGTCAATGACAAAGGAGGATTTTGGGGGTGGGGGGAGTCAGTTACAGGAGATTACCACTAAAGCACAGTAAACAAGAGTAAGGTTATTATGTAGATTTAAGGCCTCACCTTCTACATTGATAAGTCACTAGAAATGAGCTCAACCCCCTCTCTTCTCAAAATAGAGAGGGAGATACCTTTACAAATGGAGATTTCCCTTATAAATGTAAATGATTGTCTGGCAACTCCTCGCAGGGTCATCTAGAGAATGTGGACAGAGAGACAGAACTTCTGATAAGAGGGGCTTGTTGGTGCCTTTCCTATTGTAACATTTACCCTACGTTATCTTTACAGCCATCATGATAGATCTGTTCCAGGAAGGAGCTACCATGTCAAATTCTTTAGGCAGTTAGTGGGGGAGGTCAAATGTCCCTAGAGAAAACAACCAAGGTAAAGAGATAGATTTCAGGGTGGCCAAATCTTGATCTCCCACACTTCCTTCTATCCTTCCTTCCTTCCTTCCCTTATTTCCTTCCTTTTTATTAAGATTCTGATTGCTTTTATTTTTTAACTTGTTAGGAAAAGAAACATACTCTTTTTCATCATATTCTTATAGCTTCCAGAGTCTTATCTACTTTACCTTTCACTTAGAAAGGATTCCATTGTTCTTTAGGTCATTTCTTCCTGTTCTATTTTAAACTGGTGACTGGTTGGTTTTGTTTTCTCTGGAGTGTCTTGTTGCCTTTATCTTTTCTTGAATTGTCTACCTTTGCTTAAACCTCAAAGCCTTCAAATGTCTCATTCATTCTCTTCTTTGCCATGGCGTCTCTGCAGATATCCTCTGAGCCCTCCAACCTCTGCTCTCATTTGGACTGGCTGCTTTCTACTTATGCTATATTGCCCATTTGTTCACTTTCTTTCTCTGCTCTCCTGAATCCTGAATTTGGCTATTTTGTAGGTGCCGTATTCAGTGGTGTGCCGGTAAATGTTTAACAATAGGCTGTCATGACGAATGAACAAAACCCTGATTTTTAGAATTTCTCAATGTCCATGTTGTAAATATAATGCCCAATGTCAAGTTCCCAACCTGAGATCATGGACCATGGAGTTGGGAAGAGATGCACCCAAACCGCGCTCCCAGCCCTGTGCCAGCGGCTTCTGCGCACCGTTGATGAGAACAATTTTGACAGAAATATTTCCAAAATATAGTCACACTTTTTCTGAGTTAACAAAACAATGTGGGCATCATTTGATATTATTTAGTGGCTCCGGGTCGTTACTGTTAATGTCAAGCTCTAAGACAAAAAGTGGTGTCTCTACAGATTATAACATTTAGAGAGAAGATATTTGCCTGAAAACTAAATGACAAAAGAGTTTAACATGGAAATTAGAGAAAATAATTAAGTAAAAAATTCAATGGTATTTTGTTTATTTTTGAAGGGCATTTTGTTGTTGTTGGTTAACTTTTTAAAATACAGTACTCGAATCTAGTTTTCATTGTATAGTTGTTACAGCTGCCTCTCGCCTGATCCTTATGATCTCCTCCCTGTTTGGTTTTTTTAATGGCCTTTTATTTATGCTCTTATTTCAAGCCACTGTAAATCTATTTTTTAGTAAGTTATCAGAGAATAAATATTAGTAAATAGAGAGATATAGCGTCTTCAATAACGAATGCAGATTTTCTAATAAGTGATGTTAATGTGGCTTCTTTTTCATTATGTGTGTTTTCTTTAATATCGTAAAAGAGAATGCTATCTATGCATCTTCTGACAGAAAAGAAAATAGGTTTTTGTCTGTTTGAAAAGTTCACTTTAAAGGTTTTTGCGATGTGCGACAGCTTTAAAATAGGGTTGCCTTTCAGAATGAATTGCCTGCAGCTGCTCTTCAGGGTTTCTTTTTGTCTGAGCACATCCATCCTGTTAGGACATAAAAAAACTGCATATTTACATCGCTGATGGGCCAGTAAATAAAATGCTGCATTTTTAGGGGAAGGTTCCTGAGAACTAATTAAAGTCACAAGCAGAGACAGAGGATTGAAACACGGTGCAGCTCCTTACCTTGCTCTGATTATTTTGTGTTTTTGCCATTTCTCTGCATCTTCCCATTTGTGAATGCAGGGGATGGTGACAAACCATTTGATGATCAGGAAATACCCATGGAATGAATGTGGTTCTGGTGTGGGTGTCTGTAAGCATTTGCTCCTTTCTCTTCTCCTCCACAGCTTGCTGAAGGTGAATCTTAACCAAGGTAAATTTAGCTTACTGGATGGAGGACATTTCTTTATGTCTAAGGAAATTAAAGCTATTCAGGCATACACCTGCCACATAACTAGAAAAATATCTAGGGTACCATTTTCATTTCAAATCTACAGTTTCTAGTGCCATCAGTATGGCTAATAACTGGATCATTTTATTAGAATTACTATTTTATCAAGGAAATCTAGAAAAATGCTTGAAATGTATAAGATTAGTGTCCAAATACAGCAGGTAGAGTTATAAAATTTATGGATATAAAGTACAATAAATATAATTTGTACATGATAATAACGTTGGTATTCACTGGACTATATGAAATTCATCTGTTTCATCACAAATGGTTTAACTGTATATTTTAATACATTTTAGAGTTGCTTAAAAATGTTGTATATAATGCAGATATAATAAACTGTGACATGTCTAAAATTGTTACAGCCACATAATTTTTATTTGAGCATTCAAATACCTAATCTAAGATGAATTTTCATGTAGGTATATGATCTCAATAAAATATGATTCAAAGGGACTACTTAACTCTAGTTTTACATTGGGGACTTGAGCCCAGAGTAAGTAAATAAGTAAGCTTCATTTTGAAGAAGTTGCTAGTCATTATCATCAATGACAATCTAAAGAAAGAGAAGAAAAAAAACCCAGAAGATTTGATAATTTATGTTTCACACAGGTAGGCAGGGATGGGTGGGAGGTTTTTTTCACAAAATGATACTAGTGGTAGTATTGCAAGCCTGGAGTTACTGTTTCAAGAATATTATACTAAGCCAATCATTTTACTAAAAATAATGATGAATCAATATTATGAAATATGATATAAAATATCTGCCTGGAATTGCTACTATAGAAAAGATTTAAAGAGTATATCTCTAGCTCTCCAGATAGATGTAAAATCTATTTATACTTGAAGCCATAATACTGAAAGTTATGTTAGTATATTTTCTGAGAGAAGTTGCATAAAACAGTACATGAAATAGGTATCACAGTTCCAGTGATAATGATGTCCATAAGTGTGATTGAAATTGAATTTGCAGACTTCTCTAGCTGTGACATGAAGATGGTGTGACTCTGCTTGGATTAGATGCTAATGGACTCTCCTTGCTTTGTTGTAGCTCTCAGCATTAGAGAGGCAGATCTTTGACTTCCTCGGCTTCCAGTGGGCGCCTATTCTTGGAAACTTTCTGCATATAATAGTCGTCATATTGGGTTTGTTTGGAACCATTCAGTACAGACCTCGATATATCGTGGTGGTAAGTCTTATTTTTACCGTGTCTCTTCATATAAACCTTACAAAATTGCTATGAGAAGATGAATAAAATAATTTAAGTTGTTCCTTCTGATATAATGTGATATTGCTGTTCTGGCCTTCTCACACTGAATTCTGTGAAGACATGATTATCTGTGGAAAAGAAGACTCAGTGAATGTTTCCAATAAGAGTAAAGCAACATGACTGTTAAGTGTGAGATGCATAACTGAATTCAAGTTTCACAAGGAAATTTAAAATGGGGTTTGAATAGTGTAGGAGAACTGGTTGCAGCCTTGATGTTATGAAGTGATGTAAATGTGCATTAACTGTCATTTCAATGACGTATGTCGCTAGCCCCTAAAAGCAAACCTACCTAGCCATAACTGTTTACTAACTGATAACAATAATATAATTTAATATTAATTGATTTAAGACATTACAAATGCATGTACTGAAGGTTATTTAGTACTCGTCCCTAATGTATTTCATACTGTTTATCATTGAAAATTTCTCCATTTTGTTAGGATAAATTTGAACTCCAAACTGTGGCAAACATGATTAGCAGACCCTCCATGGAGGATAATTTAATGAGGTATTCTGTGCTCCACAATCTAATGGAAGTTATTCACAGTAGTTAGTTTTCTTTTCTATAAAAAGAAGGCAATATTTTAGGCTACAGGTTGTGAGAAATAACAAGTATCTATAAGTAATTGGAAATAGGAGTAACATACTCTAAAATGCCCATTGAGCCTGAATAAATATACAGTGTTCAGTAGGATTAGTGAATATTTTCTTGCAATGCAATGACTGCCTCACTAGAAGAAAGCCATAGACTTAAAAATGTCATCTTTCCATTTTGATTTAATCCAGTCACACCTATTGAAAAGAATAAAGTTAGAAATGTTTCCTGTAAATGCATCAATTCTCTATGTTGAATCTCAAAATTGGCTTTTTGGTATCTTTCACCATATCACAGAGGGGAAGGTAACTGGCCCACAGCATAGACTCTGCACTGAAAATGGCGGCCCCAGGCCAGCAGCCTTTGCTGTCACTCAGCCGGCTGCAGGGCTAAACAATTCCTGCTTCACTTTTCTTTGTTAGATAGCCTCTGCTAAGCCACTGTGTAATCTACTAGAAAGGGGTTTCATGGAGTTTGACTTGTAGCATAAGATGCTTTAATATGCATAATATCAAACTATTATTGGATTCTATGTTCTAGTTTGTTGCTATGAACACAGAGCACTTTTACTCACTACAGACTTTTTATTTTATGATGTTGATGTTCTGCTGAAGCACAAAATGCCAGATAGCTATGAAACCAATGGCTTCTATGGAATGAGGCTGTTGGTATATGTTAATGACATTATCTAGTCCTATTGCTTTTACCTTCTAAATATTAGCTCTTCACACTTTTCACACAAATACTGCCTGGGTTGAGGCTTCTGCTATTTCCTGTATCTAAACTTCTTGCTTGCTTTCAGCATTCTTCCCTTCCAATGTGGCCTTTGTCCTTTTCCTAAATCACTGGCTAAAAATCTTTCACTAACTCTTAGCAGGAAAAAATCTAATATTCTTGGCTGACCCAACCTGACCAAACTCAGGTCTCATAATCCTTCCTTCCTTCCTTCCTTTCTTCTCCCCTTCCTTTCTCCCTTCTTCCCTTCTTTCTTTCTTAACTTCCTTCCAGTTTTCATTTGCTTATTCATTCAAACCCTATGTATTGGGTTTATACTGTGTATTTGGCATTGTGTTAGGTATGGAGTACATTTGTGAACAAACACAGACACACATTCTCTGCCCTCCTGGGTACTTACCTTACAGTCTAGTGAGGAGAAGTACGCCTTTATCAAATAATCATCCAGATAAATGTACAACTGCAAATGTGACAAGTGTTACAAAGGAGGACATGGTGCCATGAGATTTATAATGGGGAGATTCATCTGACCCTGCGGAAGTGATTGCGGAGCTGGGATCTGTGGAGGTGAGTGTGAGTTCACCAGGGAAGAAAGGACCAAAAGGGGTTCTGGGCAGGCAGCACTACAGGTCACTCAGGTAGGATGTCAGAAGCAATAGTTCCCATTCACTCATTAAGCATTTACTGAGAACCTGCTCTACTGTGCTAGGGCTGCATAAATAGTGAAGAATGTATATTACAGTGTTCTGCTCTCCAGGAACTCCTTATACAAGGAGTGGGGAGGCACAGATTCCTGGACTCTGCAGGTGGTGAAATGACAGTGAAAGAGGAATGAGAAGAGCAGTGGGGAGGGGCCTGGGGAGAGCAGGGGCCAGCTTCAGAGACAGGAAAGAGCAGAGAGCGTGCATTTCAGCGTCAGGCACCCTCTACTCCCACCTGCTTCTCTAGCCTCTGTCTCCTTGGCCTTGCTGGTGTTTGTGCCCTCGTTTAGCATCATTGCCTCAGTTCCTCATGCACATGTCCTTCCATGCATTTTACTAGTCAATCACTCCCTGCTCCTTTGCCTCTGTGTCTTGAGCATGTTTTATAATCTGTTCACATTTACGTCTTCCCTACTAGGCAGAGTTCTTTGAGAATGTGGAATGTAATAGGTGCTCAATAAATACTTATTCATTATTTTTTATCTAGTTCCCTACTGGTTCAAAGAGTCCACTCGTGATAGGACTGGTGTCACTTCTTTCTCTGGTATCATCTTTTCCTTCACTTCCTTCTCTCCCTTGTCCCTCCTGTGTGTAGAAGGAGGCAGATTTAGGTCTTTCAGAGTCTTCAAAGAAAAACATTTATAAGACAAACAATCCATGTTTTTGTTCATCTTGATTTTCTCTTTTAATGCATATGCCAACCAAAACTCTATCATTTTATTTACTATCTTATTCAAGACCCTCTTTCAGGAAGGGGGAGAGAAAAAACAATGAATTGTCAGGAAAGCTTTCCATGCAAACATGTCATTTGGTTTAATCTTCACAAATATCCTATGGGCATGTATTAGCATCCCTGACTTTACAGACAGGGAAAGAGTTAAGGAAAGGTTAAGTGACTCACCCAAGGAACTCAGAGAGTAGCTGGCAGAACTGGTTGTGTATCCACCTCACCTCTGTTACTGTTAGGTTTATGAAGTTGCTTTATCATGATCTATGCTTTGCTTCCACCACCAGATTCCAGATGATATGGTGCCATTGTCAATATGAGTTTTGATATTGGAAATGATCCTTCCCTATCTCTTCAGTTGATTATAGAGTATCGTTACCTGTGTAGGATTCCAGATTACCTCTTGTTCTAACATGAGTATAAATTGTCTATTTGGGAGAACTGCCTAAAGAATCAATCCACCAATCCACAAGTATAGGAAATCTGTTCACAAAGGGTGCCTTTACTGCAAAGATTATGTTGTTATTGGGAAGGTGTCCATGCCCTGTTATCTTTATAACACCATAGGCAGCTCATCTCTGACTTGTTTTTATTAATGCTTTGGTTTGAAACTGTAACTGGTGGCCTGGAATTAGTTCTGGTATAAAAAAGACTGAAAATGAATATGGCAGAGGTCACATTGATCAAGGTGTGCCTCAAAGGCACCAACTTTTCAATGGCGCTGAGAGGAGACCTGGATCGGAAATCCATACTGACTTTTCCCTGGTCAGAGAAAGCTCTTTGATGCAGGGGATTGTCTGTCAAACTCTCCTGTGGTCTTCTTAGTATTGGCCTCCTTTATTGGCTGAAACAGTCACCAATAATGCCAATTAAATTTAATCCATTTCAAACTAACAGACATTTTGGAGCACCAAAGCATAGATGGTAAGTCAATGCCATTTCTGGCAACAAACAGGGTTTGTCACAGCTGAATTTAAAGAATTATTCACCTTTATGAAAATGGTTATGGTAAAGGACCATGCAGAACAAGCTCTCCAATGTCTGTAGGCAAACTTCAAACTCCTTAGAGTGGAAACCAAAGCTTATAAAAGCTGCTCCTTTAATTACCTCTCCTGCACTCCTGCCCTCCCTGCTCTCCTATCACGTGCCAGCCGTGCTGAATGGTTTGTGTTTCCCAAAGACCACATGCTATTTCCTGCCTCCTCCATTTTCACACATTGCCCTATTCCCCTTACCTACTTGGAAAACTTCTAATAATTCTTCATCTGAATGGTCCCCTTTAAGAACCTTCCCTGACCTCCCCGCTCCAGAATAAGTGCCTCTCCCTCTCTGCTCCCATAGGTCTTGCTGACTCTTCTATCCGCCCTCTCTACGCAGCTGCTGTCCTTGCTTCCAGACCCACCTCTCCTCATTCAGTAGTGTTCTCCTGGAAGGTAGACTGTGCCTATCCGTTGCTGTACTCTAGGTCTATCCCAGGATGCATGGGCCTTTAAAGAAGCTTAGTCCTTGATTGAACAAACAATAAATGAATGAAAGGTTATTGGATGAAACGATTTTACCAGATGGACTAGGCAGTGATTTCTTATATCAGAACATGTCAACAATAGTTCAGCAAGTCTGGGGATTTACATGATAGAACAGTATGTGCTGCTTCGCCTACACCTACCATTAGCTGACTTACTCCTCAACTTATTTTTTTCTAAGAAATATAATGTTGTGGGCTCCTGCCACTGTAATTGAGGAGGTCCCACTGCAAAGACTAAGAAAAATTCACCCAAATCACAAAATGAAAGAGCAATAATTCCCCTTTGGATACTATCACTCCTGATAAGGTACAAGTTGCTGTTTATATATTTATTTTTAGAACACAAAAGCAACTTGGTCATGTGATACTCTTTCACTGATTAAAATTTCCTTTAGTTAAGGTACAAGATGGGATATGTACATTAGGGGATACCAAATTTAGTCATAGAGTTTGAATGCACTTTCTGTGTTTCTTTGCCTATGGACAAAATGAGGCAGAGTGTGGGCTGTGAAGTCATATTTAGCAGTCGTAAAGTACTGGTCTAGAATCAGCTGTTTACTCTTGTCTGTTTACTCCTGTGTCAAATATTTTAAAATCTTACTTATGAATTCCAAAATGAGATTCTGCCCTAGAATTATTTAAATCTTTATTATTTTATGGGTAATAAATTAATTTAATCAAGCAGTTTTAGATTAATTTAAATGCAGATGCATTAATGAAGTTAACGTTTTTGAATAAAGATTAATTTTGGCATTAAAATTAACTCAAAATTGCCTTTAAAAATTAAAAAAAAAGACAGGTAGATTTTCTAGGTCCACAATTTTGTTATTTGGACTTTTATGCAAATACTCATGTACAAAGAACAGCAACTTGCTTTCATTTGAATTGTTATATAGAAAAATTTCCCTACCATGTCATCATAAATCTTCCTGAGCCACTGCTCAACATGACAGTTGAGTGTCAGGTTTCCCTTTAGCTGGTCACGGATTTAAATCCCACTCCACCAATTATTGGCTGTGAAGACTTGGGACATTTATTTACTTCTTTGTACCATAGTTACTTCATTTGTAAAACCCTGACTCGTAGATTGCTTTTAAGAATTATATTATCTAATGTATGTGACTTGCTTAGCATAACCTAACACAGTGTGTTTGATAAATGATTGAGCTGTTTAAGGTGTTTTTTTTTTTTTTTTTTGCTTTCATTCTGCTTTCCTTGCCATTAAAATGAAGGATGGTACATCACTTTTAAAGTTGTTCTGGACATGAATACTAAACTCCAGAAATGTTAGAACAATGAGTGAGCAAGGAACTTACACTGTTTTTTGTAAGTCTAAGATATTGTGCATAATATTATATCTGATTGAAACACATTAATGAATGAATAAATAAATGGCCTTTCTGGTAATTGGAAAACAAGCTCAGAAAGTAAAAATAATTCATGTTATAGACTAATTGCTCTATGAGGAAGAAATAGACTGGAAGACTTCTAAAGTTCATTTCAATTAAAAAATGCTGAAATATCCTCATAAAACTAGGAAACATTTAGGAAGCCACATAGAACACATGAATATTTTTTTCATCTTTATAGGCATCGTCTATGTAAATTAAGATTTAAAATATGTGTACTGGACATAAGCAAAGTAGGATAGGTAAATAGGTAGATAGATAGATAGATAGATAGATAGATAGATAGATAGATAGATAGATAGATAGATTATGCAGAGTGACGTTTTTCACATTAGGAAGTGAAGTCTTCTATATTGCAGGTATATCTTTGTGCCTATATGAACATATAGGCATGCTCCATAATAACCAAAGTATAGCTGTTGAAAATGGAGTGAATCTCTTGTTTTATTCTAATTTCAATTGAATTATAATTAAAATAACCCAAATCAAAAAGAAGACAAGGAGGATAGCCAGTCTCTTACACCATATATTTTTATAATACTTCCTGCCTAGGTAAATTCCTATGGATGTGTTGTTTGTATTGCTAGAAAATCCTTTCTTTTCCTCTCTATATACTGACTTATGTCTCAGGGGCATAATGAGGTATATAGTTTACATCTCATAACAATCCAAAATTCAATTGTACAAATATTCTTTGTTCTCAACAAACCAATGTATTAGAATAAAGAAAGTTATGATATTGCTTAAAAAAAAAAAAACCATGATGTTTATATAATGCTTGACACATCAATTGCAAATACAAAAGAAATCATTCCAAAAACATTGCAAGTTATAGAATATATATGAATGAAGTAAATTTTTGGTAAACTGATAATTTGGTGAATTGGTAGTTTGGTGAATTGTAAAATTTGGTGAGGTGTTTACTTGCAAATTAATCTATCGGTCCTGTTTCTAAGATCTTTTAAAATAAAGCCTATCATGTAACACTTAAGCACTCCAGCTCTGGAGTCCAACTGTCAAGAGTTTCATCCCAACTCTGACACTAACTAGGTGATCAAATGGTTACCTCTCTGCCTTGGTTTTAGTGTGATGACTGAATGCCTTAAACTATGTCAAGTGCTTAGCACAGTCCCAGGAACATAGAAAACACAGAGTAATAACTCATGGTATTGTTGAGGATTAGGAGCTGACGGTGGGAGTCTCCTCAGCCTGGTAATTTCGTCTTTGAAAGTTCGAAAGTGGCATCAGTGGTACAACTTGTGAGAGTCCCTGAATATACTTCAGTCATGAACTTTGTGCTATGGTTTTTGAATAGACTTGTTTTATTTTGCATATGTTATAACTTTGAATTGATTGATTTTTCTAAAAGATTATTTATGAGTTTAGGTTTGCAGACCTAATAATTAAGAATCATGGTTTTGCAATTAATTTAGTTCATTTCCCTACTTTAGTCTTGCTTTATTTTATGTCCTTTCCTTAACCTCTGTCACTGGTTTTTTTCTCATGACTTAGTGGTCGCATTGTTCTCTCATTCTAATATACTCATCATTAGTTTACTTTAGAATGAAAAATATCAGGTATCAGATGCCATCTTATTAGCAACAGCTTTAAAATTTGTTGTGGTTATTGTGACTTGATCAGCTGGCAAAAAGTATGCGTTGAGGATGTAGGTTAGCTATTTTCAATGTTCATGGGAATATTTTGTGGTTCACAAAAGAGTGTTTCAATGCATTTGACACATTTTTAAAAACCATCTAGTCCACTCATACTAGAAGACCTTACTAATGGAAGATATCAGCACCATCAACAATATCTGCAAATACCAAAAGCCTCAAATATATTTTAACGTATGTTAACATTTTAACATATTTGCTAATTTCTCTAAATTTCCAATGATCGTGGAGCCTTAACTCATTATTATAATTATATTATTCTTAAAAAAAAAAAAAGGAAAAGCCTCCTCTCCAAAAAGAAAAAAAGATGTATGATGTGACATCAAGTGTAACCAATTGTAGAACTACACAACTACATGAGATTATTTTGGAAGCCTTTAAAAAATTATAGATAACAGAAAGGCACAAAATATAAATTAAATTTTACAAATAGGTAAAAGTTTCTGATAAGGTTTCTAATAGGAACATGGCTATTTTATACAGTGCTTAAAATTCATAATTCCATTATTTGATGCAGCATAGAATAAGCTAATAAAATGATTTTAATATTTATTTCAATTTAACAGTAGCATGTGGCAATTATAATCACTGATAGAAAGCAATAATTTAATTAGTATGCCCATCTAAGAAACTAAGAATTTGCAGATTTTGTGGTTAAGTAAAATGAATGAGCAAACCATTGTATTTGATTTGTTAATTATGTTCCTACAGTAAGTACCATCTTACTTAGGTAAGTGTCTAATGACTTAAGGCAAAATTTCTAAGATCTAAACCACAGTCATCCAAGCTGTTCATATGTCAGTTTTCTGGGCCTCAGTTTCTTCATCTGCATGAGAAAGTGACCGGATGAGTTGAGCCCTAAGACCCTCTCCATTGATGAGTCTTGGTAAGGCTTTTTTAATTCAGGCTGACTAATTCTCTCAAAGAAAGCATTTCCTAATACCTAATACATTAATAAAACCAATTAATCAGGAAGGCTAGCATATTTAGACTTCATTGGATGTGATTGGAAGACGTTTTCCCAATATGGAAATCTGTTGTTCATTTACTCATTCTTAATCCTATTTATTAAATTCTGTGCTTTTAAAAAAAATTTTTACATGATTATATTAGAGGCACACACTCCACTCTTAAAATAGTCCAACAGGTGAAAGTTTGTTGATTTTACTCTAATTATCCGTTTTCAAATATGATCTTCACTCAGGGATATGGAAGTGCTGGGTTTTGACTAACATTCCTAAAACTTTGACAACTTATATTATAATTAAAAGATAGATAGCCCACAGAAAACTTGCATAATTGCATTCCCTGGAAAAGCTAATACTCAGAAAACAGAAATCAAGTCAGAACTTGGGTTTAACTTGTATTTGCAAGCCAGCAAATCACTTTAAAAATAAATCTAGCTTTATTGGCATCTACCAAAAGCAGTAGGAACTATTGGATTTTTAATTTCTAGAGATCTTAAGGGACCTCATAAGGAGCACTCTTTTCTGGGCGCTCCCTGTTTCTTCCTAGAAGACTTAGACTTATTGACATTTTTATTATTGATTTATTTAGTATACATGCCTTTGATCTCCACATTTTTTTCTCTTTCTTTCCCGCCTCCCCCCTTTCTCTTTAGTATACAGTATGGACTGCCCTCTGGGTCACCTGGAATGTGTTCATTATCTGCTTTTATTTGGAAGTAGGTGGGCTCTCTAAGGTAAGTTTATCACGCTTTTAAAGTACACTTTAAAAAGAGTACACTAATAAATAATTATTATGACTATATATTTTATATATATACACATATATGTAATCTAAGTAATGTTATAAATGGAATACTGATCAAAAATTCGTTTGGATACTATTCAGGAAAGAATGGTCTTGGGAGTATGTTAATATAATGGAATTCCAAAGCAATGGCCTTATGGTTTAGTTTGTTAAGCTGTAGTGGAACTCTGCTTCCAGTGTATCCTTATGTCCAGTTTAAAAAGGCCTAATGTCACAGTGACCACAGTCCCAAATGTTAAGTGAAAAATGATTTTGAACATTATTGTGTTTAAAGTGGGAAAAGGGATTAACTAAGATGTTAATGTAACAAATATGAATAGCAAGTTCCTATTTTCGTTTGAATATTAATACTGAAAAAAACTGACAAGGAATGAAATCCTTATATATGTAGGTGGAGCATACATTTGCTAACAACTAAGTACATCGGTGTGGTGATTCTTATCTTGAAAATCTGATCAGACAGAAGAGAGTTGTCTTAATGCAACATGATACAAATGTTATTTCTGTCTGTAGAACTAATGTCAGCAGAGCACATGATTTTCATTATGACTCCTACAGAACCATCTTTTGATTGCCGCTAAAATGTAAGAGCATCTTGGGTTAATTTTGTAGTTGTGTTTCCTGAACATTTTTCTCATTAACCAGCACAGTTTTCACTTGAAGAAATTGTAAAGAAGAAGCTTAACAGTACAATTACAAAAAGAATAAGAAAGCTGTAATTATTTTTTTAGATTTCTCATCATCAACTATATTTGTGCTAACATTCTATTGTTGTATGATAGTCTCAAATTTTCTAAGTAACGTAATGGTCTTCTATATTTGTGGTTTAGATCTTAGAAAATGTGCCTTGACCAGCACAGAGATTTTTAGAATTATTAGGCTCCATTGAAGTCCATACGGTAACAAAGAATTTTTGATTCAGCCAAGCAGTAAAAATCCCTGTAGGATTTTCTCCAGAACATCCAGAGGTGGTTACTCTTTGTTCTACACTATAATAAACTTTATAATTAGAACCTGTCATCATTTTCTCACATTGGAAAATGTATTCAGGAACCAGAAATGACAGTTCTCTCACTGAGATCCACACACATGCACTAACATCTACCTTTAATATTTGTGCTATTAATCACATTTCACCACTAATTTCTAAGACAGAAAAAAGTCAGCGCCCAGTTATCTTCTGTAACACACAGCTTATAAAGTAATTTTGAAATGCAAATTTTATGAATAAAATAATTGCGAATAATGTTAAGTGTAGCATTTTTCAACCCATAGCATTTTGTATCTTGTGATTTGAATGGTCATTTTAAATCATATTTTTATTTCACTGGATGGAAATTATCTTTTATTTTCTTCCATAAAAACTGAATTCAGAATAAATTAGACCAGAGGAAATCAGTCTTATGCAATTGGCATCATAGCGTATTGAAAGAAAACTGAATTTCAAATCATGAGTCTCATTCAAATCTTGTCTTTAGCACTTATTAACTATGGGCCCTTAGGCTAATCATTTAACCCCCATGAGTCTTTGTGAAATATAAAAACAGAACTAGCTTTGCCAATAATGATAGTAATCAATGATTGTTTGGCGTTTAGCCTTGTTTTAAGCATATCATATATAGTAATTCAGGTAAGCTTCAAAACAACCCTGTGATTAAAAATAATAATAATAATAGCAGTTATTTGTTCCACACGAGTCTGATTTCCCTCCACTGCCCAAGGTTACTTTTGTGAACTGCCTTTTGTAACTGCTTTTCTAATATAAATGTGTATGTCAAGGTTTTCTTTGGTCTAATTTCTTTGGGTGCAAGGTTAAAAAAAATGGATATGGTAATCCCAGTTACTAATTTTATTACCCATTCAAATGCTGTTAAGCAGTCAACCAAGTAGTCTAGGTCATTAAAAGGATAGACGAGGGAGCCAGCCCGGTGGCATAATGGTTAAGTTCTTTTGCTCTGCTTCGGTGGCCCAGGATTCGCAGGTTCAGATCCCACTCATGGACCTACACACCGCTCATCAAGCTGTGCCGTGGCGGCGTCCCATATGTAAAGTAGAGGAAGATTGGCACAGATGTTAGCTCAGTGCCAATCTTCCTCAAGCAAAAAGAGGAGGATTGGCAACAGATGTTACCTCAGGACCAATCTTCCTCACACACACACACAAAAAGGATCAATGACTCCAAAACGAGCATCCCAAAGATTTTCTGTTGGTCTCCTCCTATTTACTGCCTCAAAGGCTGCTAACCTCTCCCTGTTTAGTCATAGTTTAGCTTAATTTCCAATCTGTAGGAAATCTATTGTGAAAACTAGAGAGAGTTAAGGACCCTTGATAAACCCAAGCATCTCTGACACCTTTCTAGGTTGGACTCCATTTCATAAGAAATTCCTCATCCATATGTGCTGGTTTATATACTAACTTTCTAGAGCTCTCCATCTCCTGCTGGTTCATGAAAGTATTTCTTGGAATTACCCACTTGGATAGATTAATAGAAGCCTCCCTATACCTTGATTTTTGCCCCCCAAAATCCAAAAATTCTAAAATAGTGAATCTTTCTCTAAAAACTGGGTTCAGAGTAATTTCTGCAAGATCTCTATGGATTTGGGTTCTATTCCAAGGACAGGCACTACCTAACCATTCTTATTAACTAATAGTGTACATTCTGATGGACATGAACAATCATACATCTGACCTATTCTAGGGATTCTTAATAACAGCCTCTGGATTTTCCTTTGCTGTTATCTCATCTGCCAACCAGCTCTGCATCATACATTTGTCACTGTTATCTGGAGGGTCCTGATTCTCCCCAGACTTTCCAGAACTTGAAGGAAATGGATATACTGTTTTAAGGAATGTGTACATGTATGGTGAGGTTGGGGATGACTATGGGTAGGTAACTAAAAGTGTGTGCACTTATATACTCTATTGGAGCCTCGGTTTCTTTTCCTGCAAAATGAAGAAAACCACAGCACTAATTTTATTGGATTGTTGAAAGAATTAAGTAAGATAATGCATATTAAGGACTTAGAAAGGATCTTGGCATATTGTGAGGTTTCACTAAATAGTGATTCTTATAATTGCCATCAACATCATCATCTTTATTATTGAAGAAATTAACAGACATCACAATCCTCATCTTGAAAACCTTGGGGACATACATTTATTACTATGCAAGAGCTGTAAAAGGGAAAAACTGTAAGACTGACTGACTTGTTTAAAAAATATGTAACAATCCCTTGTGATAGGACCTCAGATCTGCATATTAACTTCACAGCTGTAACGCTATTAATTAAATTCTTTCCTTCAACATGTAAATATCTTATTTGAGATACTTCTGCTGCTAGATTCTCCTGGTGTCCCTACTGCTCCCCCTAAGAGAACTTTATGCATCTTTAGAAGTCTCTAAGGCTGTTTTTCATGCTGTGCTTAAGATCACCAAGGGCACAATTAATAAGTTATTGCTGCTGCTTTGGAAGTTGCAAGACTTGAAATCATTTTTTCCTCCCTAGGAATACATTCAGAATGTAAATATGAAAACCCAACTCATTTGCTACATTTAAAGGAACTGAAAAATAAGTTATGTTGAGAACTCAAGTTGTACTTTTTCTAAATTCTGTAGAAATTAAGCTGAGGTCTTATGGCATCTTTTGATTACTCCAAATTGTAGAAACTTTAGACTCATATTTCTCCTGATTGACTTTTCTTGAAAGATGTGTGGAGCTTACATATTAGTGATATTAGAGGATTTTCAGTGTGTCACATTTTCATAGAGTTCAGAATGTGTATGACTCTGCGTGAGCATAATTTAGACATAAAAATGATTGTAAAGAACTTCTATGAAGATTTATCTTGTATGAATCATGAGCTTTGATCATAGGCCTTCTAAAAACTTATAGGCAGGGGCAGGGGAGAGAGATGGACTAACCCTTACCAATTCCTATTCTGCACAGGTGTTTTACATTGCCTTCACACAGAAGGAAAGCCTACCTTTATTTTTTCTGTATTTCATGTTTTAATGACTGCGCTTTTTCCGTTTGTGGGTATTTTAATTCCAAAGCTAAATCATTTCCCCAAATGGCAATAACAGCACTTCCTTGTCCTCTTTTGACTTACACTGTCATCATTCATTCATGAGAGCCCTCTTCTCTTGTGAGATTCTTCAGCTGAATATTTCACCTGAGCAGCCAGACGGGGTCAATGAGATAATTCTTCTTTTTCAAGGCTCATTCTTATTACCCAGCCTGAATTGTTCCTCTGTAGTTACTGGGAAAAGTCTCTTTCTTGATCAAGATTCATTTTCCTTCAAGGTTGGATTCTTCTACTAACTTGGGCTTTGGGCAGGCACTTAAAACTTGTAGACAGTCAATTCAACGTTCTGTCTAGGAGCAATTGCACAGGACACAGAAGTTCCCTTCAGGTGCTTCCAATCCATCTGATATTTTTTATAAATATTTTAAAATATTTTTGTCTCAAAGAATTCTTTTTCTGATGGCATTTTCAAACTGAACCAATCACGTATAATATATTTTTTGTGTGTGTGTGTGAGGAAGATCTGCCCTGAGCTAACATCTGCCAATCCTCCTCTTTTTGCTGAGGAAGATTGGCCCTGGGCTAACATCCATTTCCGTCTTCCTCCACTTTATATGGGACACCGCCACAGCATGGCTTGCCAAGCAGTGCCTCAGTGCGCACCCGGGATCCAAACCAGCGGACCCCGGGCCGCCCCAGCGGAGCACGCATGCGCACACTTAACCACTTGCACCACTAGCCGGCCCCAGTATATTTCTTTTTTTATTTAAATAAATACAACTTACTCAATCTAGTATGAATATTAAACTTATATTTACCTTTTCCTTTTGATGATTTCTGCCTACCTGGACATTTTTCAAAAGGAAACTTAAAATGTGATGTTTACAGAGGGCTGAAGCTAGG